TCCCAGCGTGCCCCCGCGCCCCGGCCCCGCCCCGCCCGTGTGTGTATGTGTAGTTGTGCCTGCACACAGATATATAACGGCACAGCTCACACCCCTGACTCACCCCCAGCTGCCGTGCCCCGGGACAGTCCGATCTCCGAGCTCTCAGCCTCCGTCCGCCCCACGACGACCATGGCCAAACTTCTCCTGCTGTGTGTGGCCGCGCTGAGCTTCGTTGGCATCGGTAAGCCAGGCCCCTGCCCCACACGATCCCCCGCCCCACGGCCTCTCCCCCGAGGGCACTTTCCCCGATCCCTCTGTCTTCTCCAAATTCCCTTCCCCGCCCTGCGGAAAGTCTGTGCCACGCAACAAACCAATCTGGGCAGTGGGGTGGGGAGGAGAAAGATCTGCTAGGGGGCAGTTGTTGGGGGGGGTTGCCCCTCTTTTTGAGCCTAGATTTTAACCCCATAAGCGCCCTCCCTGGGCAGAGGGGCTGGGGAGTTTAGGGATGACACCTCTGCGCGCTGGGGGTAAATTGGCAACGATTCAGCCCACTGCTGCCACCAATCTGAGCACCGGGAGTAACCCCCTCCCCACAGCTTTCTGTGCCCCACTTTTCCACCCCCATGCCCCAATTTTGGCCACAGGCTGCTCCCTGCCCAAGAGACCCACCCGCTGCCCCCCACTCAACCTGCATTTCCAAATTGTCCCCAGGGCCTCACCCACCCCCAGGGGACACACCAAGCCCTGCCAGCCCCAGCCCCATTTCCCCACCCTTGGGAGGAGCTGCCATTTTCCATCCAAATAGGCAACCGGGAGGTTTTTTTTGTCCTTGACTCAGGCTGAGGCAGGGCGCTGGCCGAGGGGAGGGGGGGAGGAATCCAGAAGGCAACAGAATTTCCATGCAGTACACACACACAACATCCAGGGGACACACACACACACACACACACACACACACACACACACACACGGGAGGAATCTGGATTTGGTTTTGACTTGAATCCAGTTTTCCAGGCTGGGCTGTTTTTGCTGTGGTTTGAAACCTCGCTCGCCAAAACACACCCAGCGCTTCACATGTATGTGCACGTGTGTTTCCTGTGTCTGCCTGCCGGGCTTTGTGGTGTGTGTTCCGTGCTGGCGCCGTGGGCCACGTGCCCATGAGTTTGCCTCGCTGTGGGGTGCGCAGGCACAAGTCTGCCGGCTCGCGTGTGTCCTTGCGAGCAGCCGTGTGTGTGTCGGCCTGGCAGTCCCTTCCTGAATGTGTTGGCGTGTTTGTGTGCCTGCGAGTGCACAGTGTTTGTCTTCTGTTTTTAATGGTGTGTTGGAGGAATCGTTGGGGGCCAATATCAAGATGGGCAGGAATCCCAGAATCCAGCTGCTTTTAAAGGTGCTACATATAAAAGGGTAGTTATCTATCCCACCACTGGCACCACTGCTCGTCGATCTGATCCCACCCCTGCCACCAATGCTAGCAAATCCACTCCCCTTCTGCTACAGATGCCGATCCCACTACTGCCACCAACACTAGAGAATCCACTCCCCTTCTGCTACAGATGATGATCCCACCCTTTCCACTAACACTAGGGAATCCACTCCCCTTCTGCTACAGATGATGATCCCACCCTTTCCACTAACACTAGGGAATCCACTCCCCTTCTGCTACAGATGATGATCCCACCCTTTCCACTAACACTAGGGAATCCACTCCCCTTCTGCTACAGATGATGATCCCACCCTTTCCACTAACACTAGGGAATCCACTCCCCTTCTGCTACAGATGCCGATCCCACTACTGCCACCAACACTAGAGAATCCACTCCCCTTCTGCTACAGATGATGATCCCACCCTTTCCACTAACACTAGGGAATCCACTCCCCTTCTGCTACAGATGATGATCCCACCCTTTCCACTAACACTAGGGAATCCACTCCCCTTCTGCTACAGATGATGATCCCACCCTTTCCACTAACACTAGGGAATCCACTCCCCTTCTGCTACAGATGATGATCCCACCCTTTCCACTAACATACTGCCTCCAACCCTAGCGAGTCCACTCCCCTTCTGCTACAGATGCCGATTCCACTGCTGCTATCAACAATAGTGAATCCACTCCCCTTCTGCTACAGATGCTGATCCCACCATTTCCACTAACACTAGGGAATCCACTCCCCTTCTGCTACAGATGCCGATTCCACTGCTGCTATCAACAATAGTGAATCCACTCCCCTTCTGCTACAGATGCTGATCCCACCATTTCCACTAACACTAGGGAATCCACTCCCCTTCTGCTACAGATGCCGATCCCACTACTGCCACCAACACTAGAGAATCCACTCCCCTTCTGCTACAGATGATGATCCCACCCTTTCCACTAACACTAGGGAATCCACTCCCCTTCTGCTACAGATGATGATCCCACCCTTTCCACTAACACTAGGGAATCCACTCCCCTTCTGCTTTTGGTCTCACCCTTTCTCTCTCTCTTCCTAGGCGCGGCCCTGCAGTGCCTGAAATGCGACTTCACCATATTCGGCATCCCCTGCCACACCAGCACTACCACCTGCGAGGAGGGGCAGCTCTGTGCTATCATCCGCGGCCGCGCAGGTACGGCCCCCTTGCTCGGCTCCCTCTTCCAGTCTCGTGTCTTCTCCACGTCCCAGCCTCATTTCCTCATTTTCCCTCCTTTCTCCCATTGTCACGTTTTCATTTCGTTTTTTTCTCCCCCCGCTCTGTCGTACTAGCCGGCCACAAGCTGATCATGAAGAAGAACTGTGTTAACAAGTTGAAATGCCACACCAACGACACCTCGACCTGGGCCGGTATCACCTACAGCACCTCCTACGAATGCTGCGAGGGCGACTTCTGCAATTCGGCTGCGAGCGCCGGGGCCCACCTCTCCCTCGTTGTAGGGCTGGCCATGCTGGGCACCTGGCTTGCCCAGGGCCTCTAATCCCCACCCACCTGCCGGGAGTGAGGGAGAAGAAACCATTTCTGTTGAGGGGGGGAATAATCCAGCCTGACATTGCCTTTAAATAGCCCCGCCCCTTTTCTTTTTAAAGGGGCGCTTGTTAGCCAGAGCGGAGACCCAACCTGTGACCTTTTCTGGATTGTTCTGTTTCTTTTCGGCTAGTTTCACGCTCGGTCTCGTAACCTACCCAGGGCCCCGGTCTCCAGCCCCAAACCCGCCCCGGAGGGCGCGCTGCCATTTTTGCACGACCCACCCCTCCCAAAAATTCCCCCAAGAATTGCCCGCCCTTGCCTGTGGCTCCCGATGACACTGGCGTGTCAATGAGGGAGCCGGGGCCGGCGGATAAATGCCCCTCCACGAATGAGGTACGGGGGCACCCCCCAGCCTTGAACCCCCTTCGCTGCGGCCCTCAATCTCGCAACAAGCCTTTGTAAGCCAGAGGTGCCCACCGCAGCCATGAATCTCCGGAGCCAGGCGTGCCTCGGCCCTGCGAAACTCCAGACGGGGAGGTGCAGGAGGGTCTCCCGGCAAAGACCTGGAGGCCGATGCGCCCTGGATTTCACATCTGTGCCCTCGCTCAACCCCGTTGGTGGCAGCGGTGGGATCGGCGGGGAGGAGGAGGCTGCAGCTGGGGGCAAAACCCCGCCCCCAACTCCAGCCACCGGCATCCAGCCTCGATGGTTGCAGTTGATGGCTCCTCTTGTGCCCAGAGGCACCAGAGCCATCTAGCGTGCAAAGCTCCCACGCCGGCCCCGCCCACGCCTGCGGGCAGCAGTTTTGTGCTCCCAGCCCTGCCCACGCCAGGCCCCGCCTCTTAGCCCAGCGGCAGGATGGGCGTCGGCCCTGCGAACACCAGATAGCAACTCCCACACGGGGAGGGCTCGGGACTTCGTCCCAAAGCCCACGGAGGCCAGGCAGGGATAGAGGGGGCCCGGAGTGTTGTATTGACTCCACCTGGTGGCCTGGCCGTTGGTGCTGCCCCCTGCTGGTGCGGGGTGGCTCAGTGCCTCGGTTTCTCCTGCGCTTTGTTCTCCTGAAATGTACCCACAATAAAATCCTGTCTCGGCTCCGATCGCCCGGCAGCTGTGTCTCTGTTAGTCCTTCACGCCCAACCCGCAGCTCCCGCTCCCCCCGCCCTCGCGCGGCCTC